ACGAGATTCTATTATATTCTTTTTATTTGTTGGAATTCAAAGATTGAAAGAAACTGTTAAAATTTTCAATTTATTTTATAGTTAGGAAATAATAATAATTTTCTGACTATTATGTTTTCTATTACGTGAATGGAGATTATTATAAAATACCGTACATTCGCTGAAACTTTCAATCCATACTTTCTTACATGAATTTATATGTGAAAGATTTGCCATTCTCAAGATAATTACTTCAGTTATTTCATTTTTATTTATACCAACTAATATTGTCTGCTATTTTCATCAATTTCTTAGTAGATATTCTTCGAGGAGCATGAAGTTAAAATTCAAGTGCTCGGTAATTCAATAAAACTCCGTTTATTTATTTGAATTATATTTAATATTAAATGAATCTTGCTAGTTGAATCTTCACTTAGTTGAACCAGTAGAGCGGTGAGAGCCAGGGAATTTTTATTTGACACGAAACCCCCTCGATTATAATATAAATTATCCCCTGGCAAGTTCATGTAAATTTTTACTATAAATACACGCATGAAGGCAGCGAACGTTTCGAAAATAGACATGGCAGCAACGCGAGATTCAGGAGAGAAGCAAAGAGGGGGAAGAACATGCGCTGAGCTCTGATACGCAAAAACTCGGGAACACCTGTTCCTCGTACCTGCGCACCTCCTGTCGCTCGTCTGGTTGGCGTACGCTTCACCAACCGGTTCTTCGTGACTCGGATTTTACAGCGTGCTGCGTTTATCCGTTCTCGCCTCGTGCTTATAAGCCGGTTACGCATCACGAAAGTGGAACAAGGGACTCTTGTATAATCGTAAACACGCGGAAACTCGCCTCGAGGTTGGAAATAGTCAGGAAGTATATGGACAAGAATGAGCAGATATAAATCGTGACGTAACTGATTAACTCTTTGGGATATGCTAGTACGAAAAATATTTCAAACTTTTGGTATTCGAATCTGCATGGTGGAATATGGTTATTTATGTCATCTTCAATTTAAAATTAATTCAATTATTATTAAGTTAAATTGATTTAATAATAATTTATTCAATAATCGAATCGATCCAATTTAATTAATTTAAAATATTTAATTTTCAATTTTATATTCTATGACCAATAGTGATTACTATTAATATTAGGACACTGTTAAAGTCTGAATAACCAAGGGACAGTGTATCAATCCCCAACTTGCAATCTTTAAGCGAATTTCTTTGAAAATCATATTTTTTTGTTTGTTTCTATATGTCTATGTATCTTTGTCTATATGTCTATTTTTAAAAAACAAAATCTGCACATTTATGAGAAGGACGAACAGATCTAATAAAGAACATTGTACTGACGAGTAGAGCTAATAAACGATGGCTGGCCCAGACGTGCAGATATCGGGTGTCGTGAAACTTTCACATAAGTGTGCAGAGCTAGGGAAGTAGCAATCAACCCGACGTTGCATTGCTTGGAAATACAGGTATTGTTCTTTAAGACTCTGGCCATAAAGTGAGAAGATTGTGACGGAGAGCACGGCACTTACTCCAAAATCTTGGCGAGCTAACTTGAAGCTAAGCATTCACGTATAATTTCCCCAACGTATGAAATCAGTATGTATTTCGAAAATTATAATTCTTTAACGACGCGTCGTTTCAATCTTATATTTTATACTTCTACCTATACTTCTCTAAAAAATAAAGAATTCTTATTAGTACATCGATTCTTTGATCAAGTTTTATTATTAACCGGATTCTTTTTTGTTTGCCAGACAAAAGCGTAAAATCGAAATATAAAAATTCAAGGATTTGCTAGTCAGCTGAATAATTATATCATAACGATCTAAACCTGCTCTGCTATGTTCTTATTGCTAGGACATTTTCCGCGGGAGAATTTACATCGAACTTCGTCGTTCTCTTCGATCCGATCTTTACGATCGAGCTGCGTGACTGCCCTCGATACTCGCGGATGAAATCGGCATCTCTGCAACGGAAAAGGAATCACGCATTACATCTCCCTTATGGTCACGTGACGTTGATAGCATATTATTCAATAGCAGACCGGCAACCTGTTGTTTGCTGCAATTGGCGACGCGCCAATTGAATGTGGGTGTCGTGTATCCTGGCGGAGGGCCGTTGGTAAGCGAGTCTGAAAGACACGCAACAAAAGTTCCTTTTGCCGGTGACAGTTTCGATTAATTGGAATCTCCTTGCATCGCGGATGACACTGCCAGAAGAAACTGATGAAACTGTTGTTCGAAATCGTTGATGCATTCTGTTGCAGAATGGCTAGAGGAGACGTTAACATGGTCAGTGTTTCAAGTTTCTTCTTCTAAATTAATGTTGGTAAGCGTAATAAGATTACGCGTGTGGAAAAGTGCAAGCGAAAGAGGAAAACAATTTAGTTGAACTTGGTGAAAATAAATTATTTCAGAAACTTGAATGAAAGTGATGCTGAACGGCTCTCTAACGGATGTTGATCTGTGAATCTGAATTCTGTTCTTAGAAATAAAATATACTGCATACTGCATCATGGAAATGAGTTATTTTGAATAAAAAAAAATGAGGATAAATGGGAGTAAAAATTACTCTTCAACGAAGATATTCTTCAAATTAAAATTTGCTGTTCTTTCACAGTGTGTAAAATTATATGTGTTGTATCCACAGATGAGATATGTAGTTCGTGTGTCGCTACATTATTTCATGGAATAACTGATACTGATGTATATTATTATGTATTAATATTATAAGGAGTTCTGCGAGGAATCTCCATATCTGAAATGTCAGAGGATGAGTTTTCGGGCTAATGCTGCTGATTTAAAGAGACTGTAGCTTAGAAAACCTTAAAAATATCAAAGATCAAACGATTTTGCTAGATAAAAAATAAAAATATCAAAAATTAAATTATTTTTGTTTTAAATATGAATTCTACAACTAGAATTCTATATTCTGCAACTATATACTATATATTTACATATATGTAAAATAGAATTGTTCCGTGTAATTTTATCTCAGTTCCTTTTTGTTCTCCCATTTAGTGGCTTGCGCTGAGGACGAATCCATGGGACCAGTATTTGTCAAGGAACCACCAAACCGAGTTGACTTCTCTAATGGAACCGGAGCTGTCGTCGAATGCCAGGCCAGAGGAAACCCCCAACCGGATATCATCTGGGTTCGTGCTGACGGAAGCGCTGTTGGAGACGTTCCTGGACTCAGACAGGTATTTTCCTTTGTTTTAACAAATTACTACTACACAGTAGGGCATCTTTCAAACTGTCAAAGACTAAACAATGTTTCATTGTAATGCTGTTTCTTGAATTTTCGTAAAATTATTAAGTAAAGTCCTTGGAATTTATTTTTTCGGTATTAAAAAGTCGAGTTTGATAATAATGAAGTAATTAAAGAAAATTCAGAATGGAACTCATTAATTAACTCGTTCGTTATATAATGTAATAGTATTGCAGGAAATATTGTAGATTACTGTTCAGAAGTATTTAAACAGTCAGTGCAATACGATTGAAAGATTAATAATTTCTGTTATTCATTGCATTTTCAACTTTTTGTAATGAAAGAACTTTTTCTACTGTTAATCCTTTATTTCGTCCAATAATTGAATGTAAGCGATTTTAACGAGAAATATATCTGCATTGTTCAAGTTCTATATTTGCAATGAATACCTACAGAAACAAATATCTCTCCAGCATGGAACAGATATATTTCAAATCATTTAGGATATATTTGTGCAAAATAATTTTCATTTATCGTATTACTGTCCATTATTCTTATTAATATCTTAATAGATCCTTTTGTTATCTATAATTGAAGTATATTTAAATGATAATAATAACATGATAATAATTTTGTCGTGTTCAAATGTATTTAAGTATATAGTACATTCTTACCACGAAATATATAAAACCAGAATATAGAAATACGTATATAACATGTATAAATTTAATTTATTACATTCAAATTATAAATATAATTATATTAAACATATATATCTTCCTAGAACATTTAGAAATGCTTTTCGTTTACTAAAGGAAATATAACTAAATATAATTATTAATATTATATTTAAAAAAAAAATTGTAAAAAATAAGGGGAGAAAGGAAAGAATACAACGATTGTCCGTTCATTCTAGACATTTTGATTTAATGATAAAAATTATTCGTTGTAGAATAACCCAATTTGATCGAAAACGATTCACTTCCCACTATCGAATGCTTGCAACATCCATGTGTCATCATACGTTTACGTTTATCGACGCAATCTTACGTCGTTTGACGACTAAGAAGGCCGAATTAATTGTCGCCTGATTAGAGCAGATCTTTGGTGAATGAAAGATTCTCTGTGTCTTGTGCCAGGTCTTACCAAACGGGAACTTGGTCTTTCCTCCTTTCCGCGCCGAGGATTATCGTCAAGAAGTTCACGCTCAGGTTTACAGCTGTCTGGCACGTTCCCCGGCAGGTTCAGTTCACAGCCGAGATGTCAACGTGAGAGCCGGTAAGTGTTCATCTCTTTCCATGTGAAAATCACGCGGAAACTCGCGCCCGTTGCCTGGCCATCTTTTATCAAATATTTTCAACAAGACAGAACGCAGTGAACGAATTTCCATAAGATGGATCACGAAATGAAGTTTAGGCGTCTTGCTGTTGTCAGATTGTAAGGAAACAGGTCTCAAGATCAGTGTTACTATAATTGAACTGCGGATTTTTATGCGTTTACGGGAAATTTAATCCCAGAACTCTCCAACGACAAGCTATCATATAAATTTCTAAATCATTTCTAATTCGTTCATTTTTTTCTTATGCACAGTATTCCTCAAGTGGGGACTCGAACATGTTTGCGACAGTAAATAAAGTTTTCGGAATTTTTAATTAATCAAATTTGAAAAGCAGATTTAGTTTGTCAATTTGCGGAGCTTCTTACTTAGGAGTTCTATGGTTGAAGATGCAAAGATTTACACACAATAGAATATGAAAAAATATATGCAATATTCAAAATAGAGGATTTATTATAATATCTCGTAAATGAGACAAATTTTTCTCTAATCCTTTCGTTACTGTATTAGGAATTAAAATTTTCCTTTATCCTTTTCTTTTTACCAAGACTAGTTAATTTACATTTTTTTTAATAGTTATTTTACCCAAAATTGTCCCAAGGATATGAGATCTCTTCATTCAAGTAGTATTTTTGTGAAACAATAATGACTCGTCAGTAATAAAAACAATCTACTGAATTATGAAGCATTTGTTCCATATTTACAATAAATTAAATTACTGATATTTGTGATTCACGTAGTCTTCTTGACTTTAAAACAAGAAACCTATACAGAAATTTACAAAACGCGATGAAATATATATGGAATAGGAAACTTCACGATTTAATAAATAACATCGCACCAGATACAAGAAACCAGGACAACCTTCGCCAGACCGAAGATCTGCAATTGCAATCAGATTTATGGTGCATTATAAGTTCTCACAGTAGCGAAAGGATTGAATTCCATCCCCAATGACATTCAGAATGAGTAAAAATTCGCAGTCCAATCATAGCTATTTCTATTCTTCAAATTGCACGGAGATTGTTATTCAAATTCCAAAAGACGAGACAATGGCACGACGTGAGAGATGGCCCCAGGCACGGTGACTTAAAACATTTTCTTTCTAGTTGTTTCGAACAGCGAATGACCGATTACCTCGGTATACACTTTTGGGTCAGTACTTCGCGCCATGCGTTTATCTATCGCGTGACATGCACGGTGAGCATATACGATATCAGTAGCAATTATCGCCGTTTTCTCCACCGATCAGGAGAAATTAGAGTAGGTCTCCACGACGAATAATCGCTGCCGCCGCCGTTGTTCGCAAGAACGTTGTTCCGCCGCTCATCGGTTTCTGCTGCGCGGACGCGGGAACCTATAATTAGCGATACGCCTTTCGCCCGGTATTTCCGCTTGAAAATCTCGGGATTATCGCTGAGATTTTCTCCATCGTTCGTCGAACGCGGCAAATTCGCGCGGACGTGCACCGGTTGACCCAGTTACACGACGACCCAGTTACAAAGGGCTCGCGAGCCAAAACTCTCGAGTACGAAATATTCGAAATGAAAAAAAAGAAAAAACAAAAAGAGAGACCGAGGGGCGGCGTTTGCTCGCGACTTTCGACCACGAGTTCTTTTTTTCATTTCCAACAAAAAAAAAAAAAAAAAAAAAAAAAAAAAACGACGAAATCGCAGTGGTGGCGCAATACTACGACACGGACGTCAACAAGGAGTACGCGATCCGTGGGAACAGTGCCATTTTGAAGTGCGTCGTTCCATCCTTCGTCGCCGATTTCGTCAAGGTTCTGTCCTGGCACACCGATCAGGGAGAGGAGTTCGTGCCCGGCGACGATTACGGTAGTACTCGCACCGCGTCGTCCGATTGAATCTAAATCGAAACGTTAAAATAGATCGTCGTCTCCGTCGTTCTCTCTCTCGAGCAGATCGCGTCCTCGATGAAACCTGTATATAACACGCGGATGAAGAGAATGTAAAATGAAACGTTGTACAATCGTGTGTGCATGATGTTTGTCGAGGCAATTGTTGCACGAGTTGTGGCAACGTAGTCGCGAATCCATAGAAAATGGCACGATGGACCGAGAACGTGGGTCAGTCGCTTTCCGCTCGCATAATCAATGTACATGTATACACGCGAGAACATCGTCGACGTTACCGGTCTCGTTAACGTTCCTTCCAGCTCGTTATTTCTACAGGGGAGCGTGCCGGCCTAAATAATTGGAGCACATCGTCGACATCGACGTCGACGTCAGACGTTCCTCCCTTACCCTTCCTCGCTGCTTCTGGTTTCAAGCTATCTTCGTTTCGCTTTCTCCTCCCGTGTCTGCCTCGCACATGCGTAGAACGTCCACACGAGCATACACGCGACACATATACACAGGCACACGTACACACATTAACAGAGTGAAACTGCACCGATCGTTTGCCGACGCGACGTGTCGATGTGCTCCTTCTGGATGCAAGCTTTTCTAAGCTCTCTCGCGGCTGCGGCGTAAGACGCGACCAAGCGAATCGATCTGCTCGACGACGAGAGATGACGACGACGACGACGAGAACGAATGCGACAACACATACGTCACCACAGAAGCTGCCGTCAACGTCGTGCGTCCCCAACGATGTTACCCGTTTCGCTCTCTCCTGTATGTGCCTCGAGTTCCGTCGAGAAGCACACTACTCTATAGACATATACTGCTTCCAAAGAGCAACAAGATCGACGACAGTCACGCTCCATTACGGATTTCGTTGTACGCGTAGATAACCGCGGCGAGCGCGCCGAAGAATCGCGGCTGATTATCGTCATTTCCGTTCATTGTAGTGGTACACCAGTATTATCAGTCCGAGGTAAACAACGAGTACGTGATACGCGGCAACGCGGCTATTCTCAAGTGCAGCATACCGAGCTTCGTCGCGGAGTTCGTTCAAGTAGTCGGCTGGCAGGACGACCAAGGGAACTCTTTTAACCCGGACGAAAAGAACGGTAGGGAGTAAGTTTTTACGAGGGGTAGGGAGGGGGACAACGAGCTGGCAGCGAGTTACCAGTTTGTCAACGTCGTATGATACCACCGGTAACAATGACCGATCTAAAATGGAGACGGTCAGAGAACGATCTGTTAACACTGTCACGCTAATTGCTTTATCGTATACGTTCCTGTTTTCTCTTAGTCGTGACTCAGTACTACGAAGCGGAGGTCGTGTCCGAATACGTAATACGCGGGAACGCAGCCATCTTGAAGTGTACCATACCGAGCTTCGTCGCGGAATTCGTGTCGGTTGACTCCTGGGTAGGAAGCGACGGTTCAACCTTCAAACCGACCAACGACTACGGTACTACGTTCATCGTCCTTTCTTTTTTTCTCTTTCCCCTTCGTCCTTTCATCCCTTCCTCGACTCCTTTCCAGACTCGTGTTTCCCCTCGAAGAGAGTTTTCGTCTCTCGCACGAGCCGTTTCTCCCGACGAACTTGGTAAAAGTTCAAAGTGGCACGTGATAACGACCGGTTTCCGGCGCGGTCCACAGTCTGGCGGCATGCAGTTGAACGGCGGCGGCAACGCGACGAGGGTTAATGAACCATTCGCTGCGGCTCTCACGCCGGCATTACGTTCCTCCTCCAAGGAAATAAATCGGCGCGATATTAGCGAAGCGGCCAGCCGCTCGAGAACCGCGCGGCAATCAAATTCTTTAGTCGCGTAATCGAGCTGAACGTTTAATTACAATTCGACTTCGTTCAATCCCCTTCGACTTCGTAAATCCCCAACGCCGCGCTATATCGAATCAACTATAAATAAATAAATAGCAAAGCAGCGTTCGTTTCGGAGCTGTTTCCGTCCAGTAGCTTGCTTTTCCGTGCAGTCGTCACGCAGCCTTATCAGCCGGAGATCCTTACGGAGTACGTGATCAGAGGGAACAGCGCGATCTTGAAGTGCAGCATCCCGAGTTACATCGCGGAGTTTGTTACGGTCGAGGCGTGGATCAGAGAGGACGGGGAGGTGTATCTTCCGGAGGATCCGGCTGTTGGCCAGGGTACTACGGGAGTTCGACTTTACCAAGGCTTAGTTAGACACGTCTCACGGTGAATCTCCTCCTTGCTGGCAAAGCGGCGTGCGATAACTTCCCTCCTTGTGTCTCGATTAAAGCTGGGTTTATATCATTCGTGTCTGACACGGAACAGTTCTACGATACATTGGACTGGCTGTATTCAGACGTATTAAAGTTCATTTATACCATTTCCGACTATTTAGGATCAAGAACGTAAGAATATTCAAAAACATTGGAACCTTTCGTGTTTTTCTGATGAAATGTAAATGATTCGTTTTACTTTCTCGTGTATATTTCAAAGAAGTAACATAGTTTTTATACTTTGATATTTCAATGTTTTTTCAAACATTTTCGAACGCTTGCGTTTGATCGAGGATTTCTTGCCGATCTGACACGAAATGATTACTCACTGGTATTTATAGTAAAATCGATTTATACTATCTCTGAAAAGTCATCCAAACCTTCTTGCAAGCTTTCAAATTTAAATTATTTGCTAAAGTATTAAAAAAATTTTAGATCATCTACTAAAACATTCACGCAATCAAATCTTTTTAATTCAAATCGAAATATTGGAAAATTACTCAGCTAGAATAAAAATTTGCTTCGAAAAATTTAACACTGACAGTTTTTTCTCGGAGATTGATTGCGGAGGATTAAATATAAATGATTAATTTTGTTTTTCCATATATTTCAAATAAATGCAATTGTTTTCTGTACTTCAAAGGTTTCAATACTTTCAGTGTTTTTTGAATATTTTCTTGCTTAACCGACACGGAATGACTCCGATACAGACACCAGTATTCATATTTCAGTAGATATTCACACGTTTGTCGACACAGTGATATCCCATTGCATCGGTCAATCAATAGAAAGGGATTCTTTAAAGCAGTAAAATAACAAGTGGAAATGTTTTCTTATTTAAGTACGTAAGACTATAATAGCAATGTATCATTAATAAAGCGTGGATTTTTTTTACATTTATTGAAAATCTTAAAATTGTACAGAGTTCAAAAGACGTAAAAAATTATGTGAAACATTGAAATCTAAAGTATAGCGTTTTTTACAATATTTGGTACGTAAAATAATTTACCGATATCCTATTTTTTTCCAAAAATATAAATTCGCATAAAAACCCGTAGCTTAATTATTAGATGTAGATGAAATTGAGAGAAAAAAGGCAACGTTTTTTAGTGGTTAAAAAAAAGGAAAAATTAAAGGACACTTTACTATAAATTAACAGACAATGGAGAAAAGTTTTCCATTGATATGTTTCGGCACGTTCAAATTAATCTCATCGCGTTCCATATCCGACAGAGCTATTCTTCGTGTGACCGATACGTGTTACATATAACCTACATATAACATATACATATAACTTATGTTCAAACATTAATACATTCAACATAAATGGGAATTTTCCCTTTTTTTGAAAAATTTTTTTTCCATCCATTAACTCTCGACAGTCTAATAAAATTATGAATTTCACTTGAAAATATGCATTTTAACTTTACGTAAAAAATACAGGAAAACATGTTTCACAAGTTTTCTTTTTAATAATTACGGTAGATTTAGTTATGTGTTTCAATGATTTTAAAGATGTACGAATTTCTACGATAGCTTTGAGAAAGAATGAATTTAAAGATGTTAAAACAATGTTCACAGTTTAGAATGAGATGAGAAAATTTTATCACTTTTCTAATTGTTTACCTATAAATTCACATGAACGGCGTATTATGTGTTGTGTAGTTGAATGTTCTTCATTATTGATAATGACTCAAAAATATTGAAAATACTTTACTCGAGATAAATTATTTGGCATCTGACGCCCATTAAAAATATCGTTCATAGCTTCAATATTAAAAAATCGGATCTTATTTGAAATAAGGAACATATCCGTCAAGATTAAAAAGCTCTTTGAACTACAAATAAAATATTGCATTAACATGACGTTCGTTCTTAATAGGTGGGAATCAATTACCACATTTAAAAAAAATCATATTATCATATTGAACGAGTATATCAAACTTATAATGATATGTTGATACAAAAAAAATGTAATGACACGTCGATACAAAAAAATAGAATAAAAAAGTTGATTTTTTTCTGTTTCTGCCATGAGATTAAAAAGTTGACTGGTGCCTGTTTCGAACGTGTTCAAGGATATTTGTCTGATCGGTGCTGAACGGATACGTTTCGTGCGAGGATAATATAAATCCATCGTAACCCGCGTCAAATTCGACGTTTCAGTTTCTCGAGAATCGGCACAGGCGCGTCGATTCGATCGCAACTGACAAATGCCTTGCAAATCGTGTAAAGAGGGATCAGGTGGTAGATACCCCTGAGGCGTGTCGTCGAATTCAGCAAATTCACGCGAAATTCAGCAAACAAGCCAAAGCGTGTGTCTGCGTGCTATCTATATACCTGTACGATCGTTGATCACTAAACTGCGGGTGTCCATGCATTTTTGGGGAATTCTGAAAACTCATAGAATGCGTGTAACACGTAAAGATGTATTGTATAAAATGGTCCAAGCACTATTAGCACCTTTGACATCTCCGTTGTTTTCTGAAGATACGAAAATTTTTGTTAATCCGATGACGATGTTTGGAGACCTCCGCTCTTTTAAATGGAAATCTTCTACGTTGAAAAATTATTAGTTCATTTTTACAAAATTAAAGTTTAAATATCTCCCAAGGTAATACTTTTTTTTCTAACTACAGAAAATATCGATGACTCGAAATCTTCGATGGCCCTTTGAACAACTTATTAACACGTTAAACGTCGTCGGTATAAAAAGAAATGACACATGTTAGAAATGACAATTTCTAGATTGTTGAAAAGTCAAAATATTGGGCCCGACGTTTGACAAAGTTACCAAAGTTAAACAAAGTCCTTTCACAAAACAAGAGAGATGTTCAAGGATGTTAATTCTGACGGGACCATCCTGCATAAGAAATGAAGCCCCCGTTATTCGACATTCGACAGGTGAAATGTTCATCAGCATCACGAAAATTCTATTTGTCTTTGATTGTGTTCGCACGAGATATATAAAAATTGCACAGACGTGCGTGGTTTATTGATCACACGTGTCCTGGTGTGTGCCCGCGCGGGCAGTCGTTTCGCAGTTCTACGTCACCGAGGCCGAGAACGAGTACGTGATACGAGCGAACAGCGCGATCATGAAATGCAAAATACCGAGTTTCGTGTCGGAGTTCGTTCAGGTGGATCAATGGGTAGCCAACGATGGAACGATTTACACGGTCGGAGAGGATTACGGTAGGCGGTATAGATCTCTCGTTGCTGCTCCACTAACCAGAGAGAGAGAGAGAGACGATGTGCTTCCGTTTTCTGGCCCCCCCCCCTTTCTGACTCCAATTTCAACGTTTCATTTCCTTTCCCCCGAAAAAAACGAACGAAACGAATTCCGATGGGACGGAAGAGTAAGCGGGCACAACGCGAATAACAATCATCCCGTTGCCATTTTATTGCTCTCTCTGAACAGATGCTTATTAGTCATTTAAGGACAGTGTTCACGCGAGCGTGTGGCACGTCGATCGGGAAGCTTATCACTGCACAGAATTCATCGATGGGCGTTCGAGGTGTTGAAACTCTTCAAAGTTTAGAAGTTACAGCCGCTTGTCAATATTTGTGAGATATCGCGAGCAACTGTGTAAATTGGTTTTACAACGAAATTTCTATCTCAACATTTGGTGGAAGCTTGTTTGTGATTCTTTTTAAAATTTGCATTCTAACGATCATTATTGATTAATTAGTCGTAATTTTCAATAGACGTTATGTTAGTAAATAGAGCTAGTATTTAATAGTTTGATGCCTTTATTCATCTCAACATTCCAAAACAACTTGTTTCCATGAAACTTTATGTAGATTCTGAAATATATCTGTTGTGTGAGAACGCTTTTTAAAGAAGTCCCTAAGAATAATATTTCACAAAAAGTTCCACAGGAACAGATTCTTAAATGAGACATACAAGTTCGAATAGAATGTTTTTAATCAGCAAAAGATGGCTATTTAAATTATTTCTAAAGTACATGTGAACTTTCCATTTTTTCCCCTTCAATATTCTTACCTTTGACATTTGTGAATCACGCGTGAAAAATAATCCAAATAAAATTGATTTATTTTACAAATGGGGCAATATATATATTATTCTTCCATATAAGTTAGTCCCGTCATGAAAATGATAATAACTATGACTTTCGAACGGAAATGAGTTCGATACCTCTGACACTCACCGACGAGTTCCTCCATCGATAAGATCTATCTCATTGATGTGACACACCCTTTGCTTGAAGTTGTCCTACTAAACCGCTCTCTGTTTTACGCGTGTCGCGTGTGGGGTTGACGTACTCTGGGGAAGATGCGCGATTTCAGTGGTCCAGCAGTTCTACGAGACGAGGGTCATCGACGAGTTCGTCTTGCGCGGCAACACGGCAACCTTGAAGTGTCTGGTCCCTAGCTTTGTGGCGGATTTCGTAGACGTGATCGAGTGGCTGGCTGTCGAGGACGGGTCCACGTACTCCGCGAACAGCCAAGAAGAAAAGGGTACTTCTTTCGTCTCGATTACCGAGATGACGTTTAGCGAGAGCATCAGATGAGCACGAGTGGTTTTCCTCGATCGCGCAAAAGACTGTTCACTATTGCAAGCACGATTTCAAGAGAAATCCGAATCACGCGTCGTTGATCTGCTCCAACCTCTTTGTTCCATTTGGAAGGCAGTGCTCGTTACAACTCTGGTTCAGAAACTGGATGTACGTACGAGTACTCGAGTGTTCGAAGTTTGAGTACTTGGATATCTGAATTTGAATCTAAATTATTCGCGTGCTTCGGTTGAGCATGAAACTTTTCTTGTACAGTTGAATTTCAGTGAGCTATATACAATATGTTATAATTTTATATGTTTATATATTATAATATTATATATATATATATATATGTAATATCAGTATATACTTTGAGTGTTCTAAAGTTTGTTGTTCAAATTTTGTCAAAAATTTGTGTTTACGGATAAAAGTGCTTGATTGAAAAGTTGCGATGACAAAAACATGGAACTTAAAGTTACTCATATTCGTACGTATTTGTACATTTATTTCGATACGTTATCATCCACGTTAATTTTATCAATGTAAAATTAATATTAAAGTACCATTGAATATGTGGACCAAATTTCGTATCAATTTTTGTTGAATCACTTCACATTGTATCTACTGATTTTTGTAATTAATATTCATTTCGTGTAAATATTTCTGCATTGTAAATTATTGTTTACGGGGATTAATACGAATAATGGAGATTAAGAGATTGATTCATTGAAATTGTGCTTGTTCATATTTTCACTTTATATTTTCGTTACTTTCTAATGAAACATTTATGGATTTTTTGGCACGTTTTACTCTTACTAGAACACACTGGCAAATTTCGAACGCTGTGTTACGAAAATTTCGATTCGTTGAATTTGTTAGAACGCTGGTTTGGAAAATTGTTTGAATTGGCAAACAATGACAGAATGTTTCTGTGATTCAACGTTTACGATGTACCTGAAATTCATGATTATCGGTTTAATTATTCTCTTCACTGTACGTACATACGTCTGGGCACTTAGATCTAGATTGAACGAGTCGATCTACTCTGATATATTCAGATAATTTTTAAATTTTCACAATCGATTAGATAAACAATTAAAAAGCCGTAATCGATGGAACACAAGCTTCGTGGCTTTCAACGCGAAAGAGGCATTCTCCGCAACGCGACCATTTCGATTACGCTCGATTCACCGACCCGACGACACAGAAGTCCCGTCGGCGTTTTAATGGAATTAATAAATGGAATTACCAGCGTGCTCATCCCTCTCGCGAGAAACAGACGGCTCGGGCGCTTTGACGGCGTGCACGTCAGCTGCTGTCGTAGTCGCCTGGCTCTCAGGGTGCTGTCGCGCCAGCGTATACAGGATGCGCACAGGGGAAAAGAGAGAAAGAGAGAAAGAGAGAGAGAGAGAGAGAATG